ATAAATGTACCTAGTTAAGCATATTATTCTGATAAAATATTCACCAAAAAACTGCAAAGTGACGCCTTACGGAACACCTACTTTTATGATGTTTGTGTTATAGTACTTAATTTTGTTTTTTTTTCAGACAATGGCGCTGGCCCTATTGTTGTCTGGTTTCGTTCGGACGAATCGTACGTTGGTGTGGGATTTAAACTTATGTATCAACAGAATTCATGTAATGCTTAATACATAATTATGTACATAATGGGTAGGTACAACAATAAAGTATTATGATAGGTCTATGAATAAAACAGACTAGAAATTATGGGCAAACATTTATTGTATAAAAAATTTGAGTGCTTATTCCAAAAAAGTAAATCAAGACTGTTAAAATTAAAAAAATATTTAGAAAAATTATAAATATTGAACACATCAATATACTGCTATCTTTTCACACAGGCGAGGAATGTATCAAAAATATAAACTGTAAAAAATACTGTCCATATGATATTAGTACTTGGTATTTATTTTTTAAATGAAAGGTATCAACATAATAATTGTGCAGTAACATTATCTAACAACAATAAGGCAATGTTTTACGAAATAATTGTTCTTGTCATTGCATAAGAGATGACGACTATAATGAAATGATGAAGCCAAAGTTAAAATAATTAATTACATACCTAAAATACGCAAAAAAGAGAAACCAATGAAATCCAAAAACCATTAACATATCTTGATATTTGATAGTTTAGTTGGAAAGAGAAAGAGTGCCAACAACTTGGTTGTCTTGGTCTTGGGTCCGAAAACCAATTTGTACCAAAACCAATTTTTTTTTAAACTTGACATTCAATTATTTTCTTATTATGTAATAAAATAAATACAATAAAAATATTACTAATACATACAACAAATCGTACATGATACTTAATTTATATGAAGAGACAGCAAGAACACTGCATTTGTCAAATAGAATTACCAGAAATTGAATAAGTACTTACATTATATAATTAAAACTTTAAAAATTACACATAATAAGTATTTGCCATTAACAACTTAAAATTAATAAAATATTATTCATAAAACTACACATTAACAAGGACACTTAAAACTTTGGTGTAATCTCATTTAAATAAAAAATACATAAAATTATAAAGTTTTATTACATAACAGTTTCTAGAAATATAAATAATAAGTATGTACTTAATATCTACAACAATTGTATTGTTCAGTTTGGATGTTCTTGCAAGCAAGGTCATTGATCAATTACAAATTCCCATATTTCCAAAGTTTCAAATAATAAATAAACATTATTTGGTTTTAACCTCATTCTTTTTCTTGAGCCCGTCCCTAACAATGTTATAAAAAGATAGTAGGACTCCAACCATAATAATTCTTACAACACTCAGAGACAATACTTGTAAAACTACTTGCATACCACTCTCTAGGGAACCACCAAACAAAAGTGTCAGCAATGTACCAGTGACACTATACACCGAGTAGGTCTTGCCAGTCTGTAAAACAAAAATATATGGAATTATAATGGTGCCTTATAAGTAAATAGGTACTGTCACATTTTTTTCTAGATCAGCAAATTCACAGGAATGATGTATTTAGTTTAGATTTAAGCCTCAAAGGAAAGAATGATTGTAGCCTATAAATTAAGTGAAAAAATTGATAACCTGCATTTTAGTATAAAAAATAATGGTTGTAGAACTTACAAGAGCATCATGAATCATTTGCTTGCCGACATCATCAGGTGAATGTAATCCCGCTGTTCCTGATATCAGTTTTGTCTCCTCTGGTTTAGTAAGATCCTCATTCTTGAAGCCAGGAGTATCTGTGTCTGGTGGGAAGGCTAAGGTCAACCTTACATTAGTGCCCACAAGCTCCATGATCACAGACTCAGCTAGACCACGCACAGCCCATTTCCCAGCACTGTAAGCACTGTAGCCATAAATACCTGGAATAATATAATTAATAACAGACTGTTGAATAACAATGCAGATGAATGATTACAAAACAGGTGTCCCATATTTATAGGTATCTGATACTATGTCAATTTTCAGACTTTCAGTAGTAGAGTAATCCAACTTACCAATTAATGCAGCTTCAGAACTCACAAATACAATAAGTCCCTCATTCCGTTTCTTCATACCTTGTAGCACACAGCGTGTTGGGTAAGCAGTACCAAAATAATTGAGATCAACCATCTGTTTAATCACATCGGGATCCGTCTTTTCAAATTGACCACAGATACACATTCCAGCACAGTTGATTAACATGAATATAGGGCCTAGTTTCTCTTCAATAGATACAAAACATTGTTCTATGGCTTTGTAATCAGAGGTAACGTCTAGTGCAACGTATTGAACTTTCTGATTCTTTTGATCTCTACAGCTCGCAGTTATTTCCGCCACAGCTGCAGTAAGTTTACCGGTGTCACGCCCAATAACAGTAACGTGAGCCCCAAGCCTTGCCGCCTCCACTGCCGCTGCTTTTCCTATACCGCTTGAACCACCGGTTATAACTACATGTTTATCCTTCAAATCTTTGTAGATTACTTTCTTATCTAAAGAAAAATGTATCACCAACCCTAAGGCACCCAACACGAGTACAACCAGAAGTATGTATATGAACATGGTTCTGGTAAGGAACAATGCTTATAACTTGAAAACTTTTATTCAATGCAGAATACAAAAAGGTGATGATATTATAACTTGTACAATAAATTCAAGCACTTTTTATAACCCTAAACGTCCAGCGGCGATTATTTACCCTGATAATTTGTAAATGAGTTGTCATTTGTCAAACTAAGTATCAAATGTCAATATCGCGTACGATTTTGTTAGGTTTCTGGCATGTTTCTGGGCACAATATAGTTTGTGAGAAACACTCGACTAAAACATGTTAGACTCCCATTTCCTTGGCTTTTCTTAAGAATGTTATCTGAAGAATTTTTGACACAATATTGTAATTTTGACCATAGCGCAAAGGGTCATGCACAATGTGCAATGCAAACAATCAGAATCACTTTTAATTATTACACTGTCATAAAATTAGTAGATTTAAGCGCAACACTAAAAATTCCCCATACCTAGGTTTTACAAAATAAATTTTTCATCTGTGTTCGACTATTGATTCGTGTGTTTATTCGTCGTAAAGATTGTTATTTATTTTGTGGTGTTTCCAATAAGATAATCATTATCGGGCTATTTAGTTCTACATTTTTTTCACTAGACATATAACACACAGTAAGAGTAAGAATCAAGTTTGCATAAGTACCTGTAGCTTTTAGTTTATCATTTCAATCCGTGCAGTTGTGTTCACGTAAAAAAATGAATTATGAGACAAATAGACTTAATACATTTACCGATTGGCCTTCATCAGCACCTGTAGATCCTATACGAATTGCTAAAGCAGGGTTTTTCTATACGGGCGAAGGTACAGAAGTGAAGTGCTTTTGTTGTAGTAGTAAGATATCCCAGTGGAATTATGGAGACCAGGTGATGTGGAGGCATCGTCAATTGCAACCAACTTGCGTATTCGTGACGCATCCTGAACTCTCAGGGAATGTGCCCTTAGTTCTAGGGCCAGAATGTCCTCCATCACTCACGCGTACACCATCAGTGCCTTCTGATGATGTGCAAAATGATCATACTTACACTGCACCTGATTATGGACTAACAGAAGAAGACGAAACTTATAAGAATGATGCTTTACGACTTCTATCTTTTATTAATTGGGATGTAAGAATATAATTTGTCTTTTTGTACTTAGGTTGTACCTATATTTTAATGTTTTTACTATCTTAATCTCCGAGTAATCAAACTTTATTATTATATGCCAAGAGTATAGTAAGATTGGCACAATGTATACATATTCTATTATCTTTGTATCAATAATAGACATATAATTTCAGTTAAAGATGTTCTGTCACTTGTATTGAATGTTAAATTGAATATCATTGTCAAGGTCACAATAAAGTGCTTGTTTTAGCAAAGTTTCTTACAAAACTAAAGTATTTAAATTGTTTCATTACTTCAAAATTGAATGTGTCATATAATAATAAAAAAAAACATTCTTAATGTCTTATATGAACTACCGAGATAAGAAATATCATACCATGATGAATGGGCACTTATTTTTGGCACCTTTTAGTTTTATTGTACTTCTACTATCCATTTGTAATTAATGTAATTACTTATCATAGTAAAATTGATATGCAATTTTCAGGTCCAGCATTAAATTATAATTTGTTTATTCTGTCATAGCACAGCTACTACAAAATGCTCATAAAAGCACTGAATGACAAAATAATGATAACTAGTTCCAATTTCACAGTCTGCTTGACAATGCTTTTTTAAATGTTAATTTAATTTTATAGTCTATACTTTTTTATAGATCTAAGAAGCTGTATGTTGTAAAGAATACTTATAATTATTTGAAACCAAAATTTTTTTTTGTAATTTTATTATCACAGCTATACATAGGCATAAATTGAATTTTTTAAAACAAATAAAACATACCGTTTCTTTATAGTTAATGTGCCAAGTGGTGTCTGTTATGAAATTATTATATATAAAGTAGAGATTTAAATGAAATAATGTTTATTCAGGATTCGTCAGTTTCCCGCCAATCGCTCGTCAATGCTGGCTTCTATCACGCCGGCGAGGGTCGTCTCCGTTGTGCCTGGTGTGGAGGAGAGTTGTCCCGTTACAACCACTTTACCTCCGCCACACCTCTGGAAGTGCACCGAATGTAAGAAATAATATTAAATTAATAATATTATGTTGTTAAAGGCATAAAATAGTTGGTATAAAAGATTTTTTAATAATTTCATGTCTTGTTTATATTTCTTATCATACCTACTTATCATTTGATAATTCGGTGCTAAAAATAACTGATGCAAATAGAAATAACACGCAAGATTACAATTTTCATTTAGTTTGTATCCAAAATGGCGATTGAAAACAAATAACTATTTCACTTTTAGCATTATGACTTATTATTCTAAAATTATGATGCAACCCAAGACTGTCATTACATCTGATGAATAAAGGTCGGATATTTATCTTTTTTATTGTGTTCTTACAAACACATAACATAGATAAATGTCACTCACTATGAATAACATATATTATACCGTAATTATACCATGTTTTGAGGCCAAATAAATATAATCATGGTTGAATGTTGTGGATAACCATTGTTTTTGTGTGTGTAGGTATTTCTCGCGGTGTCAGCACGCAGCGAGCTTGGAAGCAGCTCAGCAGGCACAGGCGGGCAACATATCCACCACGTCATCACCGGCACTCTCGCCATCACCACCCAACGACACCCCGCGCGTCGAGTCACCACCGGCTAACTTGAATAATTTACCGCAATCGTAAGTCACTTTATATTTCCGCGGAGAACCTAACGGGTTACCAGGGCTCCGGCTCGAAGTGCAGGAGTAGGAACGGGGTGGTTTTTAATCAGTAAGAGTCTGACACTCCCTCTCGCCTCACCCAGGCGGGTGAAGTCATTCGATGATTTTTCCCCTTAAAAAAAGTCACAGTTCTAGTACATGTTTAAAAACCGTCGGCCTCGTTAGTCGACTGGCCGCATAGGTATGTGATTACTGAACAAGTTGTTTTGGCTTCGATTCCCGTGTCAGCTACCGATTTAATTTGTATCCGATATAATATGGCAACAGGTTTAGCCTCTTATGACATGGGACTCATGTGTGTTAACCCCTCTGCTTAGTACTCAAGTTATCGGCAAATTGAAAGCGTGATAATCTAAATTAATATTTCTTTTGCTTTAACTTATAATTTTATTTTTAATTTAATATCTAAAAAGTACTTAAGTTATACAAAACTCATTAAAATAGTTACCAAGGAAACGCAATCCAAGGTTTTTGCTACACTTACGCATAGTAAATTCCGCGCACAAGTGTTTTATAAGTGAACAATGAATGTCTTTGAAACCGAATTATGTGGAAGGTGATCTATAGTTTATTTAGAAGGAAACTAGTGGCAATTTGTAATTTTCCTACGATATTGGTACTAGGTTAACGATAGTACTAGGGTAACGGTAACGAAGCTAGGTTATTTTATTAATTAAATGTTGTGGCGGTTTTATCTATTCATACAGTACCTATGTATTTTATACTTACCTCGGTACTAGGTATGTATCAGTGGCGTGCAGTCCATATAGGCAAAAAGGCTTTGCTTGACATAAAATGTACAAACGCGATTATTAAGATTCAATAATATAATAAAAGATTGTAAAAAAACGGCTAACATAAATATACATTCACTTATACTACTATACACGGACCGCACGCCTTTGTAAAGCAATGAATGCGCCCCGCACGCACCACGCATGCGCTACTATTCCTTAAATCTTGGTTGTTGGTTGTGACGACGTGAAGGTCACGTGACTATGGTCACAGCAGAGAATAACCATTCATAAACGCAAAAAATTCATTGCTGCCGAACTTTGAAATTTATGAATCTGCGCCATCTATTGAATTTTTTGTTAAAACTTCTGAACACGTTCGATATAATGCGAATGTCTTTTTATAATTATGCATACTAAAAAAATATGTTTCAGGTATTTTAATTAAATCTTACCATTTTTACGTGTTGTCGGTTTATAGAAACTTTAAACGAGGAGTTGACTTTATTTTAAAAGTTAAAAGGAAGTTATCAAAACGTCAAGTTGCCGCTACTCAAAGTTTCAAATTATTATCAACGAATGTTTCCTATTGGAAAATAATAAGTTTTTTTCGGAATTCCATTTGACATAAGTAAATTAACGTTTTGTTTTTTTATAATTAAACACTGGGTTGCCTTAATGTTATAGCTATAATTTTTTATAATAAACACTGAATTGACTACGATAGGTTCATTCATTCCAATGTTTTCGGCCATATTGTTTTCATGTGATGTGCGATCGCTTTGTTTATGTTTTCGTTTAAATTATAAGGAATTAGTTTTAAAGATAAATGCCGGAATACTGAAACGTTACTCAATTTTAAGTCGTGCTTAAATATCGTGCCATCTCTGTCATTTTACTAAGAATTTGCAGTGACAGAACTATACTTAAGCGTGACTTAAAATTGAGTAACGTTTCAGTATTCGGGCAAAAGTTGCATAAATATGTGTAGAAGTAGTTAAATGTATGTGTAGGTTTTTCAAATAGTGTATTTGTTTATCAGTGTCTAGTACAAGTACCTATATTATTTGATTGTGAAGTTTGTGTTGATAATAGATAATTTTTTGTGTTTGTTGAAAGTTAAAAACAGTAAGTTTTCGCAAAACTGTGTCCTACAACGACTAGATTCAGGTAATAACCATAGGCAGTACTCAAGTTACGAGAATTGACCCAAGTCAAAGGTAGGTAATGTAAATATTATGTACTATAATGGATCTTTTATTTGATTTTCTTGTTTGATAATTTTTAAAATATCAACCTAGACTTCGGGTTGTACTGATTTACATATTAATTTATTATTAATAATTATGTAATGTAATAACAAATGTACCGCTTATACTCGGCTCGGCCACAGCAGGCCGCGCTTGTTATTTGTTTTGTTTGTTGGTAGGTACCTACGTTCTTAAATTCGTAATATATTATGATTTTGAATAGATTATTTAGCAATTTTATAATTTAATTTGGTTCATCAAATTTATGCTTCATTATTAGTATAATTAATAGATTTTCAATTATTTGTAAGTTTTGTTGGCTTATTCCATAGCTGATGAAGTAGTTCACAAAAAATACGCGAGATGTCAGTGTATGTAATTTGGCGACAGAATAAACCACAATATTCTTGAACGCACTTTTCAAAATGTATTCTGTACATGTACCTGTCTTGTGTGAGTATGATTGTATGACCGGAGGGGAGGTGTTAATCATACGATATTTAATTGCCTACCCTGTCTCGAAAATCTGTGCACGCCACTGGTATGTATCTATAATGTCCTATAATAAGTCCAATAGGTACGCCTCCTTTTACCTCGAGCAATAATAAAATAACAACATAACACAGCATCACGCCTTTTATCCCCGAAGGGGTAGGCAGAGGTGTACATTACAGCACTTAATGCCACTGTACAACGTAACACCTACTTTTCACTATTTTTGGTATGAGTCCCATGTAATAGGGGGTGAGCCTATTGCTATATACTGGGCACAATATCAGATTTATTAAAAATCCAGTAATACTTTGCCCGACCCTGGAAACGAACCCGAGATCCTGCCCGGCAGTTGCACTTGCGACGCGTTGCGACCACTCAGTCAGTAATAAAATAATATTTTTATAATAACTGGTAACGCATTTGTAACTCCTATGCGCCGATTATGTGCCGCCTAATTCCATAAAAAAGATTTATTATGTAGGTAGGTACTAGCTTCTGCCAGTGGATCCGTCTGCGTGCCCGTGGGACAAAAAGTAGCTTATGTGTTACAAACATACACACAACCTTTCGCACTTATAATACCTATTTGTAAGATAATTTTCCATTGACACAATTAATAATAATAACAATTCGGTGCAGTTTTGTGACGTCATAAATTGGTCAGCGTATAATTGAAGGACACGCATACGCAGCTGACTTCATAGGTAAACGTATCAAGTCAGTTCTAAGTTCAAACGAAAACAATTACATCGAAACCTCGGTCATAACGGATTCTCAATAATAGGAAAACAGTATACGTTATTAGGAAACGACCTACATGGTCACTTAGTTAGCAGCATATTAGTAAATTAGTTTCAGTAGCCACCTAGACGTGGACGGAAGCGGTCGCTACCGTGCGTTGCGGAAATAAGATTATCTTACGTATCTTAACTATCGTGGAAAAAAAATCCCCGACTTATCGAATCTGATAACTGAGAATCAATAAATAAATGGCTTTGGATAAAATTTTGACAGAAGTTTTTCTGTTACCTGTGGATTGTGGTTGTGTTTTAGTGAAGATAAGTACTTTTAATTTCGTAAGATATTTAAAGGACATATGTCTTTTATATAGCTCTTTGATAAAGTGACGAATACGTTTTCAGTTCCATTTTATTTTCTGGATAGTGTTCTTAACGTGAAATCGACCGTTTATTGGTCTCAGTGCATGGGATTTGTAAAGTGATCACCATAATATCTGTTTGTTCTTTGATTTGATTGACTTCACCATGGCTACACTATTATCCACGATACGAATTCGGTAAGCGATTTTTTTTCTGTATTTTTTTTACCTAAGTATGTTTTATCTCCATTCGAGAATAGAACATTTCACATTTATGAAAAACTAAATTTGTAGCTAACGAATAATCGAATTATTTAGGTAGTTATTTATTTAGCTTATTTATGAGTGAATAATATAACGTGTATTTAAAATAAAAACACGAAACCTTTGTTTAATTACAAATTGTCAGATAAGTTTTTATTTACGTACGTCATTCAAATTACTAGCTATTCTTTCGATTCGAACTTTGTGCATTTAGCATTTGAATTTAAAGAACATTAAAATATTGTTTTTGAAGTCATCACAGTTATAGTAGATACTTAGGCTTTAAACAGAGGAACTGCATTTCAACTGCAATTCAACTGAAAATTTCAGTTCGGATGTAGTTTGAATGCTGTTGACACGACTACAATAGAACTGCATTCGGACTGCACATTTGGTTTGCAGTTCAATTGCAGTTGTGACACTGCGTTAAATGCGAAAGTTTCAATTGATGTTTGTGATCTCAAACTCAGACTCAGTCACGTTAAAACGGCACGGCGGATCTGGATTAAAATTACCACAGGTAATTTGAAATAAGTGAAATAACTCATGCTAATATTTATCCCAATAGTGCAGGCGAAGTCGCTACCACGAGGTTGTAATTATAATCAATCGATGTATAGGTATTGACATGACATTACTTAGGTACTTAACTGATTAAATTGCATGGTAAGGGTACTTTCCTCGTATCGTAAACGATCGAATATAAACTCGTCTCTACTGATAATATTAACAATATGTAATTCCCTCCTAGGGTGACTAAGTCTTATTGATAAATATCGTCAAAACAGCAGTACCTAGTATTATGTTTATCTTCTCCTTTTAGGACTTGTAACTGTACTAAAGCTGCGATTAACCACCGAGGGATACGTCTCAGAATCTTCTTAAGTTTCAGTAGCCTACCACCGGTAGCCTAACTGCTTGTCAACCTTAATTTAATTATACTTCAAACACTTACAAAATATCTCAATAATACTAAGAATTGATATTAACAATTAATGCTAAAACAAGTACCTATATGACGATAAACGGATAGCCGCAAAACCTGATGGTAAGCAATTACCGCCGCCCATGGATAATTGCAACATCAAAGAAATTGCAAATGCGTTGCCGGTCTTTTTGAGATTACAGTGGTTTATTTTTATTTGTAACTAATCAGCCTCTACCAGCGGCTTCGCCCGCGTTTGTTCCAAATTTCTGTCTCTTCAACCGTTTTGACGTGAGGGAATAACAAACATAGGAACGTTCGCATTTATAATATTAATAGGTTTATAGATTTCTATTTTCTATGTTTTCAGGTCAGGTGCAGCTCACAACGAGCGTGTATTAAGCCAGGGTGGTACATGGCGTAACTTGGGCGTGGTGGGCGGTGGAGCTCGCCACCCACAGTACGCGTCGCTGGCGGCGCGCCTTTCGAGTTTCGAGCGATGGCCCGCGGACAGGCAACAAGCGCCGCGGACACTCGCTGAGGCTGGCTTCTTCCACACCGGTACTGATGATCAGGTAATGTCTGATATTTATTTTTATTATGTTATTGAAATGTCAACATCCTTGTTACATGTTTGATAGTATTCTTAACTGTTCATTGATTAAAGAAATCCATGATAGTTCCCGTGCTTATAAATAATCTATCATCTAATAAAAATCATCTATTATTTAGAATGAGAATCATATAGCCTCTTTCTTTTCATTCCTACCTAGTTTATTTTAACAACCTGTATCACTACACCATTATAAACAGGAATAACCTTTATTCCGTAAATTTACCGGAATTCCCCTTGTGTTTTATAGAAGATTCCTTTTATATAGTTTTCGAGGATAAATTTTTGTGGCAAAGGGAATCTACATTAAGCGTAAAACCCCTAGATAACTCTGACTTAGGTACTGCGATAAACATCGAACATTTTATTCTTCATACAAAATTTGAACACAGTGACCATCTACGAATTATTTTGTGTACTGTAATGCTTCCTGTCATTACATAACCACCTACATATAACTATTTCTTTGATTTTTTTATTAATGCTGTGAACATAATATTATTATTTGACAAACTTGACACTGAAATGGAAGCTAGCTAATTGATCATACAGTCGTAGTGGATACTCGAAAAACGTTGAAGGTTATATGCCTTTTTTACGTAGTACGCCTTGAAGAACTCCTTGTTGTGAGCAAGTAAATAAAGATAAACTTATAAATATGGTGTATTTCACAATTTGAATGACAATTAGGAAACTAATGGCTTTATCACTTCTGAAAATACACTAATGTGTTATGTGTTCGATGTTATGTATGGGCTAATGTTCAAATGTAATGTTCATACAACTTTTAAAGCGATCCGCCCCTGCTTCGCACGGGTGCTATATGCATGTATTATACATATAAACCTTCCTTAAAAATCACTCTATCTATTTAAAAAAACCGCATCAAAATCCGTTGCATAGTTATAAATCTAAGCTTACATAGGGACAGACAGAGTGCGGATAGCGACTTTTATTTTGTGATATGAAGTGATGATAAGAGGTACTAGGTCATTTTAACGTTTTTTAGTCAACATACAATGTTCCTGAGTGTCAAAACGCCATGCTTTAAAGTTGAACTTTTCCTCACACAGATTACCATAACTTACATAATGACTAACCATAAGTTTTACGATTGATTGCCATATTCACTACGATCAGTATTTTACTCCAAAAGTCCAAATTGTTTCAAAAATTTACGAGTTTTGCACTTACAAATTTGGCAAACTAGTTTTTTTAAGTATATAGATTATAGAATCTAATTGAATGATCCAGGTGCGCTGTTTCTACTGCGACGGTGGTCTAGGCAAGTGGGAGGCAGGTGACACTCCGTGGTCGGAGCATGCGCACTGGTTCCCTCACTGCGGATACGTACTACTCGTGAAGGGACAGGAATTTGTCGACACCTGCCGTAACCGCTCGTCTGTACAGAGAACTGTTAGCGTAAGTATTATTTTATTTTTGTTGTTGTATCGTATAATCGTAATAGTAGCTTTATTCCTTCCTGATCAGATCATCTAATGTGTACCATAGCCATAAAGTTCAAAGAAAATCAAATCATTTTATCTCCTGACTAAACTGTTTAACGCGTGCTTAAAACTACATTACTTTCCTAGTTATTGGAAGTCAGCTAAAGTAATTGCCCTGCCCAAACCAGGGAAAGACCACTCGTTTGCTGTTAATTACCGCCCGATTTCCTTGTTACCGTCACTTGCTAAGCTCTTAGAGCGCATTATCTATAAGCGTCTGATGACTCATCTGGAGTGTCAGTTTATTCCTGAGCAGTTTGGTTTTCGAAATTCACATTCTACAATACAACAACTTGCTCGCGTTAGTGAACATTTTTGTAATTTTAGAAAATTTTTGTAAAAGTAAAAAGTTTTGGAATTGCAAAGGTTAATTTTCATTTCTTTCATTTTCAGTTTTCTGAAGCTGGTCGCAATGCGAGACGACGAAACGGTGAAAACTTTCCTATCACAGAAAGTCAGGTAAGGCGTACAATATTGAAAATATTATACCTCTCATCCCACTACAATTGTTCTGATAATATTACAATCTGTGAATAAAGTCACTGTTGAACAAAAGGCATGCCATGTCAATAACCTAATCAAATCAGTATAAAAAAAGAAATAATGTCATCAATAAATGACTGACAAAAGTGGAACGACATCTGGTTACTTTTTGTTTGCTATTTCACTATGATACCTGATATGTACGATAAAAATGTCAAGATGATACGAGATTTTAAACTAGAACTTAGATTGTTTTCAATGTGTTTGTGTACAGTACTAAGAGTTGTATGGTATGGATATAATCAAGAATCAAGACTAAACCTTACTCAATAGATGAACTTTCTAGTCTATCAAATAGATTTACAACCTTATTTTTAACAGGATAAGGTTGAAAATTAAGTAAAGAGAAATTCTCAATGAAATTTATTTCTTTAGATGAAGCAAATCTTTCATTACAGGTAGAAGAATGTATGGAAAGTACAATGGCGGCGGCGGCGTTGGGAGCTGGCTTAGACGCGGCGCGCGTGCGACGAGCGATAACGAACAGATTACGAACTGTTGGTATGTTCGCTAAACACTCTTTTTGTTTATGTAGATTTTATCCACTTTTTG